AGATGGCTAAAGAGCACATGAAAAGATGCTCCGTATCACTAATCATCAGGGAATGCAAATCAAAACCACAATGAAGTATCACCTCGCACCAGTCAGAATGGCCACTACCCAAAAGACAAGAAATAACGTGTTGACAAGGATATGGAGAAAAGGGAACCCTCCTACACTGTTGGTGGGAATGTAAAGTGGTGCAGCCACTGTGGAAAGCAGTATGGACTAAAAATAGAAACACCATAAAACCCAGCAACTCCACTTCTAGGAATTTATAGGAGGAAATTAAAATCCCTGATTCCAAAAGATATATGCACCTCTATGTTTATTGCCATATTAATTTACAATAGCCCAGACACAGAAGCAACCAAAGTGTCCATCAATAGATGAATGGATAAAGAGATGGTATATAACACAATGGAATATTATTCAGCCATGAAAAAAGAAATCCTGCCATTTGCAACAACAGGGATGGACCAAGAGGGTATTATGCTCAGTGAAATAAGAAAAGCATAAGAAGACAAATTTCTTATGATTTCACTTACCTGTGGAATATAAAAACAAAATAAGATGAACAAAATAACAGTAGACTCATAGACACTGAGAAGTGACTGGTGATTACCATGGGGGAGGGGCTGGGGTGGATGGGTGGGCAGGGTGAAGGGGATAAAGAGGCACAAAATCTCCATCATAATATACATTAATCATGAGTATGGAAGTATAGCATAGGGAATGTAGCTAATACCATTGTAGTATCTTTGTATGGTGACAGAAGGTAACCACTTATGGTGGTGAACATTTCATAATGTATATGATTGTTGAATCACTATGTTGTGTACCTGAAACCAATATAATACTGTGTATCAACTATACTTCAATAAAATAAAAATAACAATAATATAATAATAAAAACCATGGGCACTAGTTTTTAAAAAGGGGATTGCTATTGTTAAGATGGTGATACTCCCAAGACTGACCTACATATTCAGTGTGATCCTAATTGAAATACCAGCTGACTTCTATGCAAAATTTGAAAAGCTGATCCTTAAATTCATGTGGAGATGCAAGGAACCTCAAAATAGCCAAAGCAATTTTGAAAGAAAAGGACAAAGTTGGACAACTCTCACTTTCCAATTTCAAAACCTACCACAAGACTGCAATAATCAGGACTGTGTGGTACTGACAAAAGGACAGACGGATAGACACGAACGGCCATAGAGTAGAATCGAGAATCCAGACATAGATCATGACATCTATGGTCATTGATTTTCGACAAGGGTGCCAAGATCATTCAATGGGGGAAAAAAGTATTTTCAACAGATGGTGCTGGGATAACTAGACATCCACATGCAAAGGATGAACTTGGATGCCCGCCCATCTTACACTACACCCAAGAATAAAATGAATCAAAGACCAAAACAATTAGAGGGGTAAATTGGACTTCACTACACTTAAAAAGTGTTTGTGCGTCAAGGGACACTATTAAGAAAGTGAATGGGAGAAAATATTTGCAAATCATGTATCTGTAAGGATCTAGTATCCAGAATATAGAAAGAATTTTTACAACTCATCAATAAAAAGATAACCCAATTTTAAAAGACAGGCGAGGACTGGAATAGATGTTTTGTCTAGAGAAGACATACAGACGACTAATGAGCCATTGAAAAGATGCTCTACATCACTAGTCATCAGGCAAATGTAAAGCAAAACCACCATGAGATGCCTACCACCTCACACCCACTGGGATGGCTGGACTCGAAAAAAACAAATAAGATGAAAGTGAAAAGTGCTGGGGAAGATGTGGAGGAAACAGACTGGAGCCCTCATACACTGCTTACGGGTGTGTAAAATGGTATAGCGGCTCCAGAAAACAGCTGGGCAGTTCCTTGGGGAGTTAAACACAGAATTACTATATGACCAGCCATTTCCAAGATAACTGGAAATACATGTTCACACAAAACCTTGTGAAGGATGGTCACAGCATCACTGTTCATGACAGTCAAAAAGCTGGAGCAACTCAAACATCCCTTAGCTGACGGAAAGACAGACCAAACGTGGCATACAATCCATACAACAGTATGTTATTCGGTCGTGACAAGTAATGCAGCACTGACACACACTGTCTGTCACGCAGATGAGCCTTGAAAACATGCTCAGTGGGAAAAGTCTGACACAAAAGACCACAGGTCATCTAATGTATGTAAATGAAAAGCTCAGAATAGGGAAGTCCATCAAAGTAGAAAGCAGAATCCTGGCTGCCAGAAGCCAGGGAAATGCAAACCAAGAAGTGAACATGGGTTCGGGATTTCTGGGGGTCAGGAAGATGTTCTAGAATTACCTGTGGTGTGGTTGCACAGCTGTGAATGTACCAACAACCACATAATTATCCACTGTAAAAGGGTGGCTTTTATAGCATGTGGATTACTGGGTTGAAAAAAAATCAGTTGATGAAATCCACCACCTTAATGATCTAAAGTAGGAACCCTGAGACCTCATCAACAGAAGCAGAATAAAGCTCACCCCACACGGGTAAAAATACATCTATACTTTGGACTGCACTTGACTACATGAGGCCACGCTATCCCTGGGGTGGGGGCGGGGATGCTCAGAGCTCTGCTCGCTGCAAGATGTGGAGACGAGTCTGGGGCTCCACAAGCTGCCCCCTGACTCTGGTTACTTAGCGTCTGCTGACCAGTTTCCTCTCTATTTTAAGGCAGAGTTATGATGACATGAGTGAAACCCCCAAACCTTCTGGTGCTTCTGTGTCATCAAAGACCTCTCTAAGGCAAGTAAGTGGAGCACAACAAATTGCACATTTGGGCAAAAAATTTTAGGACAAAAATAAAAGCAGAAGCCCTGTGTATATTGCGCACCAAGCCTGCTTTCTAGAAACCAGCAGCTTGGGCTTCTCTCCAACCAGGGAACCCAGCTCCCAACTCCCCCTCATTCAGGCTGGATACATCCACCCAAGTCCCGCCACTGGGGGGCAAGGCCCTGGCAAGATGAGAGTTTATCTTAACAGGCGTGCTACATGTTTCCAGAGAAAACAGCCTCAGAGGTCATCGCTAAAGAGGGGCTTGGGAAAAGTGAGTCTTCAAGAAGTGGTTGAAAGAAAAGTCCTATTTAAAGGCCAGCAATCTGAGGAGAAACCCTGCAGCCTGGACAGCTGCCAGGACCCTGCCCTGGCTGGAAGAACATCACAAAGCCACGTGGGCCTGTGGACTTGCAGGTCCATGTCCCCAAGGAGAAACCTCGTTTGAGAAGCTCTGCTGATACGCTGACGCAGGTTCCCACTCAGCCCTGTGCCCCAGCCCCCGCACACAGCCAGCCACAGAGGTCCAGAGCGCTCTGGACACCCGGACACATGCATGTCCCCTGGACAGCACATGCTGGCACACTGGGTTCACACTCCTGGACCTGGTGATGGGTCCCTCTGCCTGGGGCTCTGCCCCCACAGGGAAGCAGGCCCCCCCATCCCAGACCCCATCCAGTGACCAGAACTCCCAGAGGGGAAGGGGTGGGCTTACGGGGGGAAGTCCTTCAGCAGAACCCTAGATCTATTCCTAGTCCCCTTTACAAATGAGGAAACAGGCACTGAGGGAGTCCACAAGAGGTCCCTGGGGCCAGCTGAACAAATGACACCAAACATGGTGGCTTTAAACACCAGAGGCCCCAGGGGAGTCCTTCCTGCCTCTCCCAGCCCAGGCAGTCACCCAGTCTCTGCTTCCACTGTCATGTGGCCATGTCCCTGTGTCCGTCCCCAATCTCCCTCTCATACAAGGATACCTGTCACAGGATTCAGGGACAGCCCTCATTAGGGTCACCTCATCCCAGTCCTTACCTAGTTACACCTGCCAAGACCCATTTCCACACACAGCCCCTTTGTGAGGTTCTCACTCACTTGAATCTGGGGGACATGGCATGGGCAGTTGCCCAAGGTCACAGGGCAGCTAAGAGGCAGGAGTTGATATCTGCCCTGTCCACATGCTAATCTGTCCACAGCCTGCCTTGAAGGGGGAGTCCAAAATAAGGACACAGCCACCTCGGTGCAGGTGCGGGCCACTCCCACCGCACAGGCCCCGCAGCCGACCCCAGCTGGCCACACACCGCTGCAGGCCTCCCTCCCCCACCCGGTGTCCCACTGCTGAAGGAGACAGGAGGCCAGGCAGGGCTCGCTTTCCCAGGCTGCCTGGAGTGCGGAAGAGCTATGGGCGCTGTTAAGCCACTGAGTCTGTGATCATTTGTTACACAGCAATGGAAAACAAACAAGAGCAACAAAAAATACCCTTGCTCATTCTTCCTCCCACCTTGAATGTGGAGCTGTGCAAGTCATCTGGTGACCATGAGGCAACTATCACCACAAAGATCTTTATCTCCTGCTTGGGGTGGCAGAGAATTAGAGACAGAGATGCCTGTGCCCCTGTGATGTCCCAGGGACTGACTGTTAGAAGTGGTCCCTGGTGGGCCAGCCCTCCCCCTTCCATACCCCTCATTCACAGCAGGGCATTTCTCCACTCCCTTGGAACTAGGCTGGCCTTACACCCAGCTTGACATGATAGAACACGGAAGGGTGTTCAGGTCTGACAACAGACCCGCACAAGCCCTACAGCATCTAACAATCCCTGAGGGGGACCCGGCCTCCATACAGAGGCGCCTGGGCCATCCCCACTGAGAAACGGCCCTGCAGATGAGATGTCCTAAGGAGACAGTGACCCTACAGGAGTCCCAGACTCAGTTGTAAGCCCAGCCAACACACAGAAGAGAGAGCCATCCCAACTGGAACATCAGATGCACGGATGGGGCTGGGCTGGGTTCTCCTGTCCTGGCTGACACCACATGCAGCGAGGATGAGCCTTCCCTGCTGAGCCATGCCCAGTACTGTGAGAGTAACCAACTGTCCTTTCCAGTCTTAAGTTTTAGGGTATTTGTTACCTGGCATTGGGTAACTGACTGATCTGGGCCCCAATCAGGCCACCAGGAGACGGTTAATGTCTGCTTCCTCAACTCACCTGTGACGTCCAGGCAGAAGGAGACCCTCTGGCCCCCAGCCTCGCAGCTGTACTCCCCGGCATCCGCCTTCCCCGCCTTCTGCACCACCAGCCGCCTGGTGCAGCCCTTGGCCTCCACGTGCACTTTCGAGCTGGAGCTCAGCTTCTTCCCATCCTTGTACCATGTCACCTCCGTCTGGGCCTGGGCCACCTCGCAGCTCAGCGTGGCGCTGGCCCCCGCCTCGGCCTGCACCTCACTGCGTGCTGGCTGCTCCTTGGCAAACACAATTGCTGGCTCTGGGAACAGGGAGGTAGCCATGGTCAGAGGCCCCCACCAAAGTAAGGTTTCCAAATCCTGGAACCTGACACAGCTACTCTCTAGCCTCCAGGCAGACTTGCCCCTGTCCCTCCACCCCAAGGTCTTTCATGTTGGGTGCTGCACATGGGACCCCCTGAGGGTGGGTCAGGAGCCAGCAGAGCCTAGATCACACGCACACCCATACAGCCAGTAGATGGAGGTGCTCTGGATTTCAGGACCACATGACACTGACCCTTGCCCAGATCAGCACCTCCTTCAAAATAGGGCTGGCCACGACTTCCAACCACCGGGTGCCACCCATTCTCAGGAGGGCATCCCCCTACTGAGCAGAGGCCCCATCCCCCACCCTCCTCACCAGGTCATCTGAGGTAGCCCCCATTCCCCACTGTCCCCATGGGGTCACCTGAGGCTGCTTCATACCCCGACTGTCCCCATGGGATCAATAGAGCTTCCCCATTCCCCCACTGTCCCCACAGGGTCACCTGCACCCACCCTATCCCTAATTGTCCCAAGGTCAGTAGAGCCCACCCTATCCCCCCACTGTCCCCACAGGGTCACCTGAACCCACCCTATCCCTAAATGTCCCCTCAAGGTCAGTAGAGCCCACCCCATCCCCCCATTGTCCCCATGGGTCAGCTGAGACCACCCCATCCCCCACTGTTCCCACAGGTCACTTGAGGGCACCCAGTCCCATCCATCCCAGCAGCTCCTGCTGCCCAGGCCCCCAAGCCTACCCAGATCCAGGGGCTGTAGCATGTGGTCATGACCATGGTGGCCCATGTGGACATGCAGCAGGCTCACCTTGCACAGACAGCTGGTAGGCAATGCAGCCCCCACAGCTGATGCATTTATACAGGCCAGCGTCCTCTGGTGCCACATCCCGCACCAGCAGAGCCTGCTGCCTGGCCCATGCCTGTACCTCGTACTTGGGGCCCAGGGACAGCATGTGGCCACCCTTAAGCCACATCATAGCCAAGGCTGGTCTGACAGCTCAGCCAGTAGCTGCGCCTCCTCGTGCAGCCGGGCCAGCACCTCCTGCATGACTGGCAGATGCTTGGCAGTCAGCCCCAGGGTTGCTGGGACCATGGACAGGCAGACAGAGTGGGTGTAGACAGAAGAGGGATGGAGGAGAGGGGACGCAGAGAGGACAGAAGGGGGGAATGGGCAGGTATGGGGGGCAGAAAGACAGGGCAGGAACAGAACCAGGTGTATGTGGGGGTGGCAAACAGAAGAGATGAGGTGGGGCAAACCTGCCCCCCTTCACTCGCACCCCATGGCAGGGGCCGCTGCCTGGCCTGGCCCTGCTCCACCTAGGAGACTGCCTGCAGCCTGCCTGCCCTTTGAAAATCCCCAGGGCTGCCTGTCCACTCCCTCCACCAGAGGAAACAGGCCCCAAGAGGCCTGGGGGTTGCAGCCAGGTCTTCCTACCTCGAACCTCTATGCAGATGCTGCTTTCGATGCCATCGGCCACAAACTTGAGCTCCGCGCCATGCAGGCTGGCGGGCACTGAGCGGATGGTGAGTGTGTGCCGGGTGCCGTCCCAGCGGACCACGTACACACTGCTGGCCTGCAGGGCCTGCCCGTCCAGGAACCACTTGCCCGCTGAGGTTGAGGTGAGGTCCACGGAGAAGGTCACCTCACCACCCTCCACTGCCTCCACTGCCTTCAGGGGTGTCTTCACCACCAGCTGGGGGACTGTGAGAGAGGGCTCAGGAAGGAGCTGGGCCCTGCCCTCCCTTCCGCCAGAATCGGGGCCCAAATGCCCCCTTTGCCAAGAAACCCATGGGACAGACCCATGGGCACCTTCCCCACTTACCCAGGTGGACCGTCCCTGGGAACTCGAGGTAGGGGCTCTGGCCGAAGCTGTTCACAGCTGACACCCGGAACTGGAAGTCCCCCTCCTCAGCCACACCTGCCACGGTCAGCTCGGGTGTGGACACCCACTCAGCCTCATGGCACCGGCTCCAGGTGTGGGCACCAAGTCGCCTCATCTCCACCAGGTAGCCATCGATGGCAACAGGACGGTCACCGTGGAGAGGAGGGGACCAGCCCAGCCTCACAGAGCACTCAGTCCTGGCCTTCACCACAGGGGCCTCAGGGGAGTGCAGGGGCACCTTCCTGGGGGCTGGGCAGAGCACAGGCTGATGTCACCAACTGGGAACCCCCTCCCCCTGCGCTGGGGGAGTCAGATTCCCTAGCCAGGCTGGGGAGCACACACCCGCCCTCATAAAAGGCAGACTTCCTGGAAGCCACTGGAGGAGGGACCACCATACAACTGGGCACCAAAGGCCACAGAGAGAGGGAGCGCTTACATAGGACGCCCCAGCCCCACGCCTCTCTTCTAGAACAGTCGAGAGACCACCAGGACCCCCACCTGGCAGTCACCTGGGGTAACAGCACACAATACCAGGGAAGCACAGCTGCCGCCCAGGCTGTCCCCCATCCCCCTTGGTCCTCCCTGCAGCCTGCAGAGGGCAGGGCGCTGGCCCGGAGGACTGAGGGCCCAGAAGGGGCCCTGCACATGGAAGGGGTCCCTAGGTCCTCACCCGACACGCAGAACTGGGTGGACGTGCGGCAGTCCCCAGCCACGAAGGCCACCTGGCCCACATCCTCCAGGTGGCACTGGGAGATGGTCAGCGTGTGGCATGTGCCCTCGGTGGTGATGGCCACACGGCCCCCAGCCACCATCTCCTCCTGGTTCCTCAGCCAGTGCACGGGGCCCACAGGCCTGGCCAGCTCCACACAGAACATGGCTGTGTCCCCCACCCGCACCGCCGTCTTCCTCGGGAGCCTCCGGGTGAGGTTGCCTGGGGACATGAGGGCCCAGAGCTGCTCAGACCCGACCCCTGCCCACCGCCGACGCCCACACCCACCAGAGTGCCTGCCCCTCTCAGCCCTGAGCCGCCCCACCTCCATGACCCCCTGCCCTTCCCTCCACTCTCACCCTGGCCTACCTAGCACCGCCAGCTCGGCCACTGTGCGGCTGCCCTCGGCTGTCTCACAGACGTACACCGCATCATCGTCGGCCGAAACGTTGCGCACGATCAGCCGGCGCTCGGTGCCCGCCTCCTCCAAGGCGTACTTGGCGCTCGCCCACAGCCGCGTCTCCTCCTTGAACCACGCGGCCTCCGTGGCCGGCAGCGCCACCTCGCACTGGAACGTGGCCGACCCCTTTTCCTGCACCTCCAAGTCCTGCAGGCGCCTCCTGAAGGGCACGGCGGGCTCTGCGCAGAAAGGGGAGTGAGCAGGACGCGCGGGGAGGGAGGGGAGCGGGGACAAAGGAACGGTGGGGAAAGTGGGGAGGAGAGGGGGACAGAAGGGAGGGGCGGAGACAGTGGGGAGGCACAGGGAGGAGAGTGAGGGGCTGGGACAGTAGGCAGCGTCAGGAAGTGGGGTGGGGCGTCGGGTCAAGGGGGTCGGGTAGGGTTAGGGACCTGGAAGGCAGAGTCGGGGTGGGTGGGCACAGGAATGTTGGCGGAGTCGGGTGGGCTGTCCCCGGGCTAGGCTACAGGCCCTAGTGGGGAGAGTGGAGAACCCGCTCCACTCTGAGCTGGGCCAGGACCTGCCCCCCGCGCATCTTCCCCGCGCAGCTTTGCAGGGACCCGCAGGAGCGGGGGCCATTTCCCTGAAATAATTAAGAAAATGAGGCAGGCGCGGAGGTAGCAGAGCTCTGTCCGAGAAGCTACAGCAGGTCAGAAGTGTACTGGGTCCCTGATCACATCAATAGACCTCTCCAATAAAACCTGATGTCATGGACCTAACTTGTTCCCACGCACCCTGGGCGAGCCCCAGACCCCGGCGCGAGCCCAGAGCCACCTTCTGGCTGCACCCTGGCGTCCCAGCTGAGGCCTTCGACGGCACGGGGATTTCCCCTTCCTATGCCGCCCAGGAGACCCCTTAGCGTACTGGGCGGGGGCGGGGGAGGGGGACCTGATCACCCAACCGTGATGAGCGCTGGTGTCAAAGCGCTTTGACGCTTACAAAGGGTCATCCCGTGCGGCCCGCATTTTGCGGATCCGGAAAGGAGAGAGCTGCCAAAATCATCTCCCGACTCCACCTTCGGACACCCCCCCGGGGAAAGGATTCCAGCACTAGGGAGGCGCCGCCGCCTGCGCTCACCCGGCAGCTGCTGCGCACGGGGATCCGGGCCCAGAGCTCACCTCGTACAACCACAAGCACGGAGCTGTAGGTCTGACCCACGAGATTGGACGCGGTGCAGGTGTAGAGACCGCGGTCCGACTGCTTGCAGAACAGGATCTTGAGCACGAAGTTCTCTTGCGTGTCCTCGTACACCACGTGTCGCCGGCCCTCGACCACCACCTGCCCGTCCTTCTTCCACACGGTCTCGGGCTTGGGCTCACCGGTGACGTAGCAGCTGAGGCGCGCGTGTTTGCCCTCAGTCACCGTGCAGGTGCGCGTGCCGGTGCCAGGCGGCGAGGCTGGGGCGCCCTCGGCGCGCATCGCCTCGCGCCTCCGCTGCAGGTGTGCAAGGAGCGCAGCAGTGGAAGCCCCTGGCGGGCCGCTGGGGTCGGCGTCCGGGTCCACGGTGAGCGCGGCGTCAGCGCTGGCGGCGCCCATCGGGTTCTCGGCGCGCACCGTGTAGGTGCCGCCGTCGAGCGGCCGAGCGGCCTGGATGCGCAGCGCGCTTGCCTCGCCGCTTTCCTCCACGCGCACCCGGGGAGCGTCGGGTGCCCCCAGGCGCCGCCCGTCCTTGGCCCAGCTCACCGCCATCGGCGGCGAGCCACGCACGCGGCAGCGGAAGGTGGCGTCTGCACCCTCCCGCACGCGGATGGACGTGGGCCGTAGCAAAAAGTGGGGCGCCTGCTCAGCGACCGCGGCCTCTGCGTTCACCTGCAGGCCAACCGCAGCGAAAGCCTCTCCAATGGCGTTGCGCGCGCGGCACACGTACTGCCCGCTGTCGCCGAGCGCCAGATCCAGGATGGTGAGGCGGTATTGGTCGTCGTCCTGGGCCAAGCGGAAGCGAGCGCCTGCCTCCACCGGCTGCCGGTCCTTCTCCCAGCTCACCTGCGGCGTAGGGTTGCCCACGATCTGGCAGCTCAGGGTGGCGTCCTTGCCCACCGACACCACAAAAGCTTTGGGCCGGGCCAGGAAACGGGGCGCGCCGCTGAATGAGGAGTGATCCATGGTGGTGTGGGCGGGGGTGGGAGGGACCTGCGAGTCAGGTGGGAGTAAGTCATCACGGGGATGAGCCCCAGGTGTGCTCCGAGACCCCCACCTGCGGCCCCCACTCCACCGCTCCCATCCAGTGCGGCCTGTGGAACCTGGCGTGACCCAGGTGGACGTCTCCACCTACCCCTTTCCCATCCGGCCTCATCTCCCTCCGCAGGTAGCACCGCCAGAAGGTACGGTGGTCCAGCAGCACAAATGCCGCCTTTGCAGGTCTTTGGGGCCTGGCTCCACCCCCTAACGTGGGAGGGTCTTCTCCCTCTCCTCCGAGCTCCAGACCCGCGCCAAACGCAAGGCCCAGCTGAGCACCTGCCCCAAACCACACCAGCCACCATGCGGGCCTTCCTCCTGGTGCTGCGTGTGTGCTGTGTGCACACTCCTCACCGCCAGCCTCGCTCTCTCTCCACACAGACCTGACATGCCCCCATCAGGCCACTTCAGATGCCTTGCATATGCTGTCCCTCCCCACACACCGCTGCCCCTGGGTTTGAAACTCCAATCTGCCCAGGTCTTTTTCCCTCAAGGAGGGGGTGGCTGCCTGCACTGCAACCAGACCTGCTCCCTGGCCCTGGGAAGCCCAGGGTGAGTGTCGGCTGCTAGCCTGTCCCCTCTGACTGGCACACCAGCAGTCACAGGTTCTCCACCCCAGTGGCTCCTCTCTGTATCCCCTTCACCCCCTCTACCTCCCCTGGGGGCTTCCCTCCAAAGCCTTTGGGCCCCACATCTGGCTGTGTGTACCTCACCTGGGTGCATCTACACAGGAAGCCCTATGCACAGGGCCTTCCTCCCACAGCAGCCTCTCCTGGGGTCCCTACCTCCCTCTACTCCTGAGGGTGTGTGCTTAGCAGTGAGTGAGGAAGGGACAGAAACCCTCCTCTCCTAAGACAAGCACACACACCCCAACCAAGGCTCACCACACCCCTCTCTGTGGGTGCCTGCCTCCTCCCCTCTAGGTCAAAGCAGGGAGGGTTGGGAGCAGTGTAGTCAGTGGTGGCCTTTGAGGGGACAGCTGATGAATCCCCAGGGACAGCCAAGGCCCTCCAGGCTGAAACGAGCCTAGCTGGCTAGCAGGGCCCTACTTGAGGGGCTGCAGGTGGACCAGTCTCATCTGTGGCTCCACCAGCAAGGCATTCTGCAGGGACAAATTGGTGACCTGGGTGCCAAAGGCCCCCGATGACTGGGGCCTCTGCCCTCCCCAGACTGAGCCCTGCCTGGCCCCTGGCACAGGTGGTGAGGAAACTGGGCCCTGTCTCCACAGGGGCTTCTGAGCATGGGAGCTGGCCCCAAGCACCTTCACTCCCTCCACCCTGGGACCCAGCCTCCAGCTGGCTGCCCACTGGGGGGTGATGTTCTGGGTCCCCTGGCTCCTGGTCCTGTGTTTTAGGGCCTAATCCCCCTAAATGCACCTCAAGGAGCTGAGCCCAGGCCAACCTGCTGACTCACTGCAGTCAGCACCTCTGCCCCACCCCACCCCCCACAGCCCAGCCAGGCTCTGAGCCTGGGAGGACTCAGGTGGGCAGCCACCCAAGCCCCACCTCCATGGATGCCCTCCTGGGCCTTCGTGTCCCTGTGGATACCAGACCTCCAGAGGCCTGAACTCCCTGTGTACCCCCCCACACACACATCACAGTCAGTCTGTGGGTTCCCCAAGGCAGGGCACAGCATTCTTTCCTAGCCACACCCAGGGTCCATGTGGTACACAGCCACTCCAAGCTCATAAGTGAGCAGGTGTGGAGGGCAGGAGCCACCTCCACAAACCCTGTCCTCTAGGGGAGGACAGGTGCAGAGGGTGCTCCCATCATTGCACCAGTTTGGGGGAAGCTGGCCCCAGCCCTCAGCAGGGGCACAGGCTGATCCCTGGCTTGGCAATGGTGGGCAGAGACCCTGAGGCCCTCTAAGACTACCAGGGACAGTGCCATTGCCCCTCCCTGTGGGGGGTCTGTGTGCCCCACATTGATGCAGCACACCCATGTGGTAGAGGGGTTCACCCAGACACACTGCTTCAGAGTCTACCCAGCCAGACTGGCATCCCACTGGCCAGCAGGGCCCCAACGAAACACCCTACTGCCCAGGACTTCAGAACACCCTCCTTCAGGCCAAACAGCAGAAGAGATCCTACAAGTCACCTGAGAGGAGTGGGCAGAACTCCTGCTGAGCATGGGACACCTGCAGTACCCTCCCATCCATGCCACTTTGGAGGCTGGGGCTGCAGATGTGCAGCAGCATTAGGGGGTGAGGACTCAGGAGGGGAGGCCTAGCCAGGACCCTGCCTCAGCCTCCCAGGGAAGCCCACCTGGGAGGCAACTCCCTGTGGACCCTACTTGGGCCCAGTTTGGCACTGGCAGGCACCCCACTCCAGACTGAGAGACCCCCCAGTTCCCACCTGGGGTAGTGCTCCTCCTCAGGCCGGAAGCCCCGACCACAGCCCCTCCACACTGGCTTTTCCAGAACATGGCTTCTGCCAGGCCCTTGTGGGGCCCCTGGGCCATTTCCCACATGAATGAGACATGGCTTGTAGCCAGACAGCAGAACCTGGGCCCCTCCTGGCCTCGCTCCCAGGAGCCCTGTCTCCCTAGCCTGTTCCCTCCCTCCCACCCGGTTGCCCACGCCTTTCCAGAACAGACTTCTAAGGGCAGCCCCTGCAGTGTATATCCCCAGACCCCTGGGTTGGCGGCTCCCTGCACTCAGGAAAATTCCTTCCTGGAGTCAGGTGTCACTGTCCCTCTGGCTGTTCCTCTGCTGAGCCAACAGGTCCAAAATAGCCCCAGCTGTCAGCAGGCATCCATCTCAGCAGAGCTGGGGGCAGGGCCGGCCAGACCACCGCACCGCCCTCAAGAAAGGGCACCAAGAGAAGGGGGACGTGGGTGCTTCAGACGGCCCCAACCTCCCACCCTGGCTGCCCCCTCCTGCAAGAAGGCCTGGCTCAGGTCACCCAGGGGGCAGAGGCTGGAAGCCAGGCCCCCAACCCCAAAACAGCACAGCCTGGCTGCATGTCTAAGCCCCTCTGTCCCCCAGAGCCATGACCTTCATCTGAGTAGCCCCCATGGGTGCACAGGTGGCCCCTTCCACTCCCCAACCAATCTGCCTCCTCACCTGTCTACAGAGGGTCTGGGCAGCACGCAGGCAGGGGGCTCAGACAGTGGGGTAGGGACTCCTGGGTCTCACCCCCTCCACAGCCCAGGAGTGACAGCTCTGGCCCAGCAGCCCTCTCTTCAGCTGGTCCTCAGACTAGACAGGGACAAAAGGACGTGGACCCTGTCAGCTCGAGGAGACTGGACCCGCCCCCACTGCTGGCCAGCCCAGCCTAACACCAAAATAGCCCTGTGCCACCGCTCAGGATTCGGTTTCACCCCAGGGAGGCAAAGGGCAGAGACTGAGGTGGTCTGGGGGTGGGGTGGGAAGTCCCTTATCTTCCACCAGTGGTGTGGGTGGAACAGAGTCCCCAGTTGCTGGGCCCCCCATTGCTCAGACCAGGATCCTGGAGTGCAGGGCAGGAAGGAGCCGAGAGACAGAGACCAACAGAGGGGCCCGGGGCCGCCCCCCAGGGGGACTCAAGGTTAAAAGACCACTCACAGGGGACCAAGGACCACCCAGAGGGAACCTGGGACCACCCCAAATGGCTGGCCACCTGAGATTCCTGCAGCCTCTCAGGGAAGGTGGGGAGCAAGGAGTGGAGCGTCAGTGCCAGGGCTGAGCCCTGCTCCACAGAGACCATACATGTGACCAGGGTGGATTCTATCCCTGGTCCCTCCTGACAGCACCTAGTGGCTGGGTGTCTGGCATCTTTAAATGGGAGTCAGGGGGTCCCTGAGAATCCAGGCAGGGATATTTCCCACCCATGCACAAGGGACCAGGCTCTGGGGGTGAGCAGCTACAACAGGCGCACATGCTGCTTTATGCTCTGGGAGGGCCGCCCCCACCCAACCTAGGACAGATGTGGACAGGCCGCTGGACCCACCCAGTGGGGAAGGTGGGCTTTGCTGGCAGGAGCCTAACCAGGAGCCAGAGGGGCCACCCATGGGAGTCCTGGGGCTTTTCCCTATAGGGTCAGCATCAGAGGCCAGGGGCCAGGGCAGGACACCTGCCTGACCTGAGGGTATGTCCATGGGCTGACCTCCCCACAGTGGGCTGTCGGACCCCCACCATCCTGGGCTCCAGCTGCTGGAGAAAGAAGCCTGAGCAGGGCTGGGGAGGCAGGAAGGGGGTCGGGGACTGCTCAGTACCCACAGCTTAATCCCCATATCAGTGGGTAAAGCAAGCTCTGAGCACAGCCAGGGTCCCCTGGGGCGCCAAGAGTCTCAGTCAGCTCTGGCAGTCATAGGACAGGATCACAATCCAGGGCCCCTCCCCACAGCTTCACCTAACCACCATCCCCACCCAAGGGCCCTGCTCCCCACATGGTCAGGCTGGGGGCCAGGGCATCCACAGTGAATCTGGGGGAACACAGACATTCAGCCACTGCACCCTGAAGAAGAAAACTCTGGAAGGATCTCTTATTTCTTTGCAACATGTTTGCTGGAGCCTCAGTGTCACTACGTGGGAGCCTTCGCAAAGAGAAATTGTGGGGTCTTGGGGGCAAATGGCTTTAACTCTCTTCAGAACATCTGAAAGGGAAGACATTTATGATGCTAGCACTAAAGACAATGAAGCAAATGCATGTTTCCATGTGGGAAACAAAGACTGATATCACTGCCCAGTTCACATGGGGATCTCATTGGACCTTTCCAAGAATGGTGCTTTTTCATATTCCAGCAGAGGGGACTGGGGTCAGGGACAAAGGATGTCAGTGTAGCTCCTGGGCTGGTGAGCATATCCACATGCCGAGGGCGGGGTGCACCCTGACTCCATGGGACAGAATCTTCTGCACTTGGGGCCCTCCCAGACCTGCCCCGTGTGCTCTCCATCTGGCTGTTCATCTGCATCCTTTGTTACATAATAAACTGAAAATATAAGTTTCCTGAGTTCTGTGATCTATTTTAGCAAATCACCAACCATGTGATTCCCACCAACCGTGGGAACCATGATCTCTAGCTGGTCAGGCAGAAGCATGAGTGAAGCTTGGAGTTGTGCGTGGCATCTGAGGTGGGGACAGTCCCATGGGACTAGCCCAACACTCTCTCTCCAGGCGGGCAGGGTCAGAGATGAGTTAGATTGCCTGACACTGTCTGATGTCACAGAACCAGAGAATTGGCTATGGTTGCTGGGAAAGACCACAGGACATCTGTTCCAAAACCTTAAGGGGCATTGTAATTGTAACAGAAAACCTTACTGAGGATACAGTGGTAGGTGTCAGCTGGCAGAAGAAAGAATCTGTGAACTTGAAGATTGATAGAGATTATGCAACCCAAAGAACAGAGAGAAGAAAGAAAGAAAAAAATGGACAGTCTCAGAGTAATGTGGGACAGCATTAAATAAAGCAATATACTCGTGATAAAGACAACTCATCATGTTCAAGGGAAGAAGCCCAATACGCTGTATGGCTTATTTCTCTTCAGAAACAATGGATGCCACGAGGCAGTGGGATAGGTAGACAAGTGTGGGCCTCTTGGTAAATCATTCTCTCTAAAACTATGTATCGGCCAAAACAGAACCTTAGAATAAGCTGAGTCAGAATACTAAAATAAATGTTTGAAACATGCTTGAAATTATGTTACTATTATTCAGAGTAGTAACTATTATTAAAAATTATTTCAAATCCTGGGCAATGCTTTAAACCACCTGTTGGTGGTGATTGCAATGCTGTTGGTTTAATTCTAGAAATTCTCTCATTTGGCCTGAATGTTTTCTCTCAAGAGGAATTCAGCTGTGATGACTAATTCAGGTGAAAATATGAAAATGGCCGTGTAATTTGATAGAATGTTTCAGGAAGCAATAATGGCATAAGAATTTAAATAACTTGGATAAGTTGGCAGATTTTCATAACATATCCTGCACCGTCTAAAATAAGGGGAATTCATATGAAATACATGTTATTTGGCCCAAGAATTTGCCAAACCTTTGAAAAGGCTTGTGGGAAACCTTGCTGGTGTTCCCAAGGAAAATGAATCTCTGAGTAGTGGTATCAGAACAGTTGTGAATCCTCCCTCCCCATCAAGGTTTAAAATTAGACCCAGCAGGGCCTGGGAGGCACCTGGAACATGGAGCTGCATCCCATCCCCAACAGCTGTCTTCCCTCCCTAGAAACGACTAAGATTAGGGATGCACAAATTCCTGGAGTAGATATTAAGGGCCACAATTAACTAGGTGACTTAATTGGACAATCTTGCCCTCCTACTGTGATTAGAAAGTGACTCTTCTCTCAGCCATTGTTTTGCTACAGAGTGACTCACTTGCTTCCAGTCATTCCCTGCCTTATTGGCCTTTCTGAAGAGCTTCCAGACCCCAACTCATTTTCTGCTGGGCATCATGTTCTGGGTGTCAGCTTGTGCAACACCCCGACATTGTCTTCTGGTCCCAGAGTTGTTGAGAGATGCTCTAGGAAGTCACTCATAGGGCATGCCACACAGCTGTCCAGGGCCTCCATGTGGTCACTGTGGGTCTCCAATGGCCAACATCAGGACTAGCAAATGTAGATGAGTCGTGAGGACAGAGAAAGCTGCCCAAGAAACAGACCCTACTTTGTGACTGCTGACTTTCAGATGTGTTGACAGTTTATAAGGAAGCCATAGCAATTCAGACACTGGCTCAGGGGTGAATAAATCAAATAAAATCATATTGAATTGAGTAGAATAAAACCTGGACACTGGCCCACACACATGCAGACACTGAGGTGTCCCTGCAGAGAAGTGTGAGGAATCTTCTGACAACCAGCTCTCCTGAGAAAACAAAAGTCAGATCATACGTCATGGGATGAATGGTGTCCCCAGAAGAAGATATGTCAAAGTTCCCACCTCAGAACCTACTTATGGACCTAATTTAGAGGTAGGGTCTCTGCAGATGCAATGAAGTTAAGATGAGGTCACTAGACACCATCCAAGTGTTGTCCTCATGAGGGAATATTTAGATGGAGACAGACATGCACAGAGGGGAAGATGATGTAGAGACACACAGAGAAGGCCGCATGAAGACAGAGGCAAGGATTGGAGGGATGCAGCCAAATGTCCAGGACTGTCTGGGGTGCACCAGGAGCTGGAAGAGGCAGGCAGGACCCTCCAGAGGGAGCAAGGCCCTGCCCACACCTTGCTTTTGGATTTCTGTGGGAGAATAAATTACTGCTGTTTTAAGCCACCAAAACTGTGGTGATTTATTACAGCAGCCACTGGGATATAATACAATGCCATATATAGAATTTAAGCCGATTAGACATGGAATTTACATATGACCCATCAATTCTAGATATATACTCAAGAGAATTAAAACATGTCCACACAAAAACTTGCACACAAAAAATGTTCAGAGACCCAAATGCCCATCAACTGATGAGTGAATAAACAAAACGTGACCCATCCTTGCAACTGAATTTTATTCAGCCATAAAAAGGAGTGAAGCACTGACACACTACATGGACGAATCTTGAAAACATTATGCTCAGTGCGAGAAGTCAGACCAAGGCCATATATTGTATGACTTTATTCATATGAATTCTCCAGAATAGGCAAATTCATGGCGACAGAAAATGGAATAGTGGTGACCAGGGCCTGGGGGCAGAGGATGAGGAGTGACTGCATAATAGGCAGGGGGCTCCTCTTGGGATGCTGAAGATGTTTTGAAACTATGTGGTGATGGATGCGTAGCACTGTGAATGTATTAAATGCCACTGAATCATACACTTGAAAATGGCTAATTTTCAAATCACTATGTTGTATACCTGAAACTAAAATAATACTGTATCTCAAATATATCTCAATAAAATATATAAAATAAAAAATCAAATGGCTAATTTTATGTATGTGACTCTTCCTTCAAATCAAGCTGAGATGAATTTCAATATCTAGCTAAAAAAATCAAAACAAAAATGTTTAGATTTGAGAACATATGTATACAAGATTTCTTAAACAAAATACAAAACAGCACATATCCTAAGAGAGAAAAAACTAATTTGACTACACTAAAGCTCATAATGGCTGCCCAAATATAGACACCAAAAAATACCTTTGGAAACAACACCTGCTACATGTGTGGCTTGCAGGAATTCTTACACATGTGCACTATGATACAGACACAAGGATATTCACGGCGGTTGGTACACAGCGGCAAAAAAACTGCCAACAAGCTCAGTCATCAGAGGGAGA